ATTTGAAAATATATTTTAAGTTTAATACACTTTGAAATTAAGGTGCAGCTTTAAATAAAAAAGCATTAAATCTTTTCAAAATACAGAAACTTGATTAGTTGACAGAGAAAGAAATTTCGGATTACAATTGAACATTCTGAAGAAATGTTTACTCATTTAAAGAAATATTTTTCAATTTGTTCTAAGTATCGCTGTTTTCTCTGTTTTGCTTTCTTTATCAGAAATTTTTGGGAATAGTTTATTTGCTTAAAGAAAAAAGAAATTTAGCAGAGATTAATTAATTTATCTATTTGTGCTTCCGCTTAATCAATTCATTTCTTTTAGCCAGTCGCTTGTTTGCTTATTTCAACCTTAAAAAAAACAAAATTTTAGAACTTAAAAAACAAAAGAATATTATAAAGAATATTATTATTATTATGTATTGATGTTTATCAGAAACAAAATATCACATAATTCTATTATCCAGCAAGACATTGCCTGTCTTGCTAGAGTTAGCGACACAAGCAAAAACAATTCATAGACTGAAGTTCTTTGCTCGTAGGACCTTTGACACTTCATCTGTTTAAAATAGCTGTTCAAATTTTTTTTTACGGATAATCATTAAGAAATGAGTAATAAGTGTCCTAAGTTTCACGAACGATTTATCAAAAATAAATTGTTTTGAAAAAGGATACCGACAAGATTAAATACTGCAAAATGAATCTGCACAGCATTGGTGCCACTTGAAAAGATTCAAGGGGAGCAGCTTGGGTAACATTTTGTTTTGAAGGCATAAAAGTTATAAGGTAATTGTATTCATTAGCAGATATTACTTACTCTATTCTGCTTATAAAGCCATCCAATATAGCAGTTAACAATTGACATGTATTTCAGTTTTAACTCAGTGTAAATCGGAATTTAAACAACTTCAAATTGATCACATTTACTCATTTTTAAAAGATAATAGAGAAATTTTGCTTTGAATTTTGACAACAAAGGCCATAAAAAAAAGTCTTAGTAAAAACGTTAGTTTATATCATAGTTTCAAATTTTTTTCAAAGTTTTACGAACATTCATAAGAAATGACTAACTGAGCAATGATGTTGTCCATGGATGATTCCATTGTCGAATATTTTCACCTGTCTTTTCTCAAATTCACTAGTTCATTTTTGCAAATCTCAAAAAGTGAAAGGAAACATGATGTTTCCTGATAAGTTCACTGCAGTGCAGAAGTATCAATCACGGATAGAATAATCCAATAATTTATTAAAGCCAACAGTCATGCAAATTACACAGTAAAAAATGAAATGTGTATTGCTGAGATAACTCAACCAAGACGATTCGCCTGCTATTTTCTTTTTTTGCTATCTTTCCTTTGTGAAGTGCATTTTGTTATATTCATTGACGTGTGTGAGCAGTCAATTTCAAATACGTTAAGAACAGAAACATATTTTGAACTTATTTTATTTCGAAAAATCTATTTGTAATGAATGTTATTCCAATGTTACTTTTCTAAATGTCCTATTTTAAGAATTTTAAAAATCCACGGATCACTCGGATCGCAAGACCTCTTTATACTAGCGATGTCTACGCGATATATTAGGACATTGTTATATTTAGTTATAATTATATTGAAATTTCTTCCATGATTAGAATCCTTTCGGCACACTGACTGGTCTTTCAGCAGCGAAAGGTAGGACAGTTCTTCTTACAAACTTGTCCGCAATATATGTAATAATTTATTGCAGAAAATTGAGGGATGGATAAGAGTGCGAGCTAACTTCCATAAAAATCAATCAAGTTCCATAAAAAAATCAAAAAAATCAAGTTCCGAGCCATTAACTACGTTTTCACTTATAGACTAATTCATCCCAAAATTGAAGACGTGCCCTCAACAGTAAAAATGAAAATACTGCTGTTGCCTGGAGAAAGATGTGACTGGTACAATTAACTAATGGTCAATCTGATGATAATGAAGGAGACAAGGAAGGTGAATGGAAATGCAAGTAATCTGAGGTAGTACTATCAAGCTCAACATCTACAGAGATTTTAATTGCCATTATAATAGAATAGAAATTGCTTTCATAATCTCTGGTTATTTCTAAATTTAAAATTTTCTCGTTTAAATTAGACTAAATATTTATTTCAAACATAAAAATGCAATTAGAGAGGAAAAATCATTGAAAGGATGCGATAAGAGATAAAGTAAGGATCGCCTTTGTGTGCAAACTTTAACATCAACATATTGAAAAGTGACTGTACAAAATGATATTTCTCTTTTTGCTGAAGAAATCACCATCACAAAAAAAGGACGATGATTCGTTGGAAGGGAAGAAAAGCAGTGATTCATTAACAGTTTCTAAAAGTAATGGTCCTAGTCAAAGTACTGTTTAATTTATAACTTCTGATCTGCATTTCAATTTATAAAGAAATGATATGCCTAATTAGAATGAGGCTTATTCTATATTATGTATAAAATTTGTCTTTCTACCTGTAAAACATAAGGAAAAAAGTAACAAATATATTCTGTATTTCTCGTCTCCGAATGTATGACAGATTATCAAAAATCATTTTGTCTCCGAGAAAGAATAACTAATCTAACCGAGAAAAAGCACCTTATTAAAGCTAACTTCACGATAGATTTACAATGCTTCGCGTAAGTACAAGACAAAAAACGAAACCAATTTGGATTCCTGTCATGCGCTTATTAAAATGATTGGGATTAGATTTACAAGATGATACCAATAATTCCAAAAGTCTCATACTCTTCTAGTCTAAGCCTTTTATATTAACCCACAAAAACTCAATCCAAATTCTCAAAAACTCCAGCAGAGAATACTGAAAGGAAAGTGATTAAGGAATAAGACATTGTTATCTCCCAACAAAAACCAATTTTGTTTTTGCCACTGTACTGCACGATATGTGAAAATAATCAAAATATGTCGAATTTCTAAGAAAAGATTTAGGGATCCTAGTCAACAAGTAAAAAATTACTCTTGCGCCGTATAAGCCGGAAATTCGAGTATAGATTTCTAAAAAATGATGCGAGCCTAAACCTGTTTTCCCTTTCATGCTTTTTTTCTCCTTTATTCGGCGCTTTTTTCCTATTTCTTCAAGTCTTCTCATCTGAAAATCTTTTCGTAGCTTGATTAAAACCAAAATGAAAAAAAGGTGTTTAATTTCCATTTCAGTTTTTTTGCCTTTTATTCACCTTTTTATTCATCATGCTTTTTGTTTAATTTAAAAAGGAAAAGAACCAATGAAACTACGCCGCTATGATACCGAAATAGAATCTCAAACAAGAAACACTTTACATACACCAGTTTGCTCACAAAAATTAATGCAAAGTGAAATTTAATTTAATTCAATGTAAATCTGAAGTATCATGAAATTATAAAAGAGAGAGAAAGGAAAACTGATATGACCTTATACGACTAGAATAAGTTATCACCTTTGCTCGCTAGACAATGCAATTCGCCTAGCTCTATTGCTTCCATGTCATGCACTCGCCATTATCCTTCGATCAGTCCTATCACAATAAAAACCTCTTTCGAGAGTTATAGAAAACATTGATTCATCAAGAATAAGGTTAAAGATTATAGAATTAAATTTGAACCAATGTAAACATAAATGCAATATCCGTACATATTTCTCATAAACTATACAAACTTGCTAAATTCTACAACTTCCTTTAGTTCAATTCGAATTTTTATATTTTGACCTAAATTCCTTTCATTATTTTTTCTTCTCTTTCTCATTCTTTAAAACCATCCTGTCCATAATGGTGAAGAGCAAGTTTTTGAAATTCAAAAGGTTATTGCAAAAATGTTGCTTCTATCAGTCATTGAATCGAAACCAGTAGCAATTACACTCAAATAAAATCATACCTCGTTTGGAATAAAACTTTTAATTTGTGTTACATTTGGAAATATGAAAAATACTATCCAGTAGAACTTTGCAGTCCGTTTAAAATAAAAACCGGAAAATCTGTAATAAAATAAATGGCTATTAATCAGTAACCGCTTTCCTCGATTACTAACAGAAATGATTAGATCTCTATTGACTAAGCATAGCTTACGAATTCTTATTCACAATCTCCAAGGATAATAAAATGAAAGTTAAAGGATAAATCCCCGACGACTATTTTTTAACAAAAAAAGAATTATAAGGGAATGTATTAAAACGTCATCGGAGAGCTTAAAGTTCTAGTCTTCAAAAGTCCGAGCATTATGAAGAATATAAATTACCTGCTTGTCATATGAAATTGAAGAGACCAAATGATAAACAGCAGAATATAAATTTAGTACTGATCTAAAAAGACAATCATTGTATTGCTTGATCATCATTTGACATTTTGTAGGACAAAAGTAATTTTCCAGGGCTATGGCGAGAATTTCGCGCAGTTGCAAAAGAAAGCTTATGATGCATAAAAGCATGACCACAGAATTATTCAGATAAAGTCCTAATACCCTTTTTGACATGTTGCGCTGGTGTCAGGACCAGTGATCCAAAAAATCTAATAGCCTAGTACATAATGGACCAGAAGGCAATATGAGATTAAGAATGATAAGGGAGCTGGATTTTCATTCAACCCCATTATTTTCGGAAATCATGGGGAGATTATCATTTTCCCTTTATGAATCGTTCATTTGCTCTTGTTACAATTCACAATTCGAAAATTTCATTGATGAATTGATTTACAGAAACACAAACAGTGCACCAAGATGTCTCTTAACTTCTGATATCTCTTTAAGAAAATGAGTGATAATCATACTTCTTTTCTATTCATCATTATTTATGACTAAGCTAAATGACTAGTGATCTTATAGCACCTATTGACCATATCATCCGCTTATCATACAAGAGGGATTCTTACCACTTTTAAAAATAACACGTTTATACTGATTAATTATGATTAAATTAAATGCCTATGATAAGATACAACATTTATGGTGAGATTTTTCAACCCATTCTCTTTTCTACATATACAGATAGGTAATTCCTGAGTGATATTTTAACAACTACTTCTCAAAATCAATACAGCAACTGTTTATGCAATAACGTTCACCAGTTTCCTTCGGTCCATCATTGAAAACATGGCCCAAATGAGCATCACACTAAAAAGATACAAATTGAAGGTCCTTTTAATATTGAATTTTAAAACAGTTAGGAAGCTTGTAGTAAATAACAAATTCCCTTTTTTAAAAGAAAAAAAAATACAACCATGAAATTTCAGATGTTACAGAAATATTTTTTGAGGATGATATATTCACCTGTTTACACCGCACTTCAATGCGCTCCATCTCCATGGAGGTGTCCTTTAACCTCACTATATTCAAATCATTATCCACAGATTTTGAGAAAGATGGCCAGCCGCATGTCGATTTGAATTTAGCGTCCGAACTGAAACTTAAATAGATGATTTGTGTTTTCAGAGAGATAGATTTCATTTAATTTTAAATCTTAGTAAAAAATGTACTTGAAAAGTTGTGCTCCACAACAGCGACAGATATATAACCCGGATTCGAAATGTTTATTAAATTTTCCTGAGAATGGTCTTTCGGTACCACCCTCTCGAGCAACACTATATTCCAAAGGACTTAAAATCTTTCTCCATTCATCTGGTGTTACCTGTTGTGGATCCTGCTTGCCTAGCGCATCAATCGCACTTTTTCCTAGAAATTTCAAAAGAGCTTCTGCCGAACGGAATGGTGGAAACATTTATATATAAAGAACGTTATATGTGTTCGTTCAAGTTATAATTATATATATATATATATATATATATAGATAGATAGATAGATAGATAGATAGATAGATAGATAGATAGATAGATAGATAGATAGATAGATAGATAGATAGATAATATGTCGAAGTTCGATTATAACACTGAGAACATACAAAAATTGTAGATAAATGTGACTGAATGACATATATTGAACAACCGTTAGCAAGAGAGAGTCATTAAAGTTCAACAAACCTGTTGCGCTGGTAGCCATGAAACACGTTGATTTGAATAGTTCTGAAAAGCAATGAACTAAAATGAAACAATCTCTTGTAGCAAGCCAAGGCCTGCTTTGCATCCTTTAATTCTCCTTTAGTCTTTCCCTCTTTGCTCTCCTTAAATCAAATTTCCGTTTTTTAAAAAGAAACAGCATAACTACAACGTTTCACTATTCTTCCATGAATTAGCTACGAATTGAAGAAAAAAAATGTCATTTCATCAACAGGTCGCTATAACTTCTGACGTATCCCTCTTCTCCTTCCACCAAATGACGAATAGTATTTCTCAGTTTAATTCTGATACTTTAAACCACTATACTTAACAGAAGAACTAATACACATAATAATGCGACAAATTTTTCACACTCCATTTACTTTACCTATTGCTCCACTGCAAGAAACAACTATTGCATATATGTTGCATGCTATCAGTGGTTCGGGTAAGTGCGTGGCACGGGTAGGTACCTGTAGCATTTGGGCTTGGCTTGGTAGCAAGGTGTAGCGTAAGGTGTTGAACATTTTTGCTGAAACACCTTCCTTAAATGTATTTGGGTTAGGTCAGCTTAAAAATACATTGCAGATTCATACATGGCTGACGGAAGTTTCCGACCGCTGACGGCTAAGGAAATTCGTAAACACATTGAACAGCGTGGCGAAGATAAACAGTCACAACAGATGCAAAAGTGATGTTTTTGTGTCATAAATGTTTCTAGTATTTTATTTGTTCAGAAATTTTTCTTTGCAAGCTGTTCTCTTAGAAGGTAATAAAGAAGGAGTGAAGAAAAATTCAGTAAACTGAAGTGCTTATATCGAGGTCTCAATTTTTATACCCCTGTTGATCCATCCTTCAGTAATAGCCATTTTGAAATAAAAGATTAAAACACCCATGCAACATAACTGTAGATTTACTTAATGATCGTGACTTCACATAGTAATGTTAACTTCACGTAGTGTTAGCAGAGATTGTTACTAAATCTTGTGCCTCTTAATACTTCCAGTTTCATCTTAGGAGAAGTTGCCCTGAAAAGCAAATTTTTTGGCTTTTCGTCGAAACGCAATATTTTGCAGGAGATCTGATGATGATGACATGGAAAGATCAGATAATCTGGGAAGGAAGAATGAAGATGGCTGGTTTTGTGACCGGAAATATGGTCGGAAAAGAAGGAGTATGGAACGACATAGTGACAGTCGACATCGAAGTGATAGACACTACGATCGTGGGCGAGAGACAGATTCGATAATTCGGGAACATAGTTCTGAGCTCAGTTATTCTAGAGAACGAAGCCGAAATCAGTATTCAAGTAAGGAGAGAGAGGTTCGATATGATCATCGTGGTCGGCATTACAGTGAGGTATCTTTCGTCGCTATATAGTAATACGCTTCGAAGTTAAGTTCAGCACTGTTTTCACGAAATAATGTTCCAGAAAATTACATTGATTTATTAGTGATATCTAAGGCAGTTTTAGTGCTTTTAGAATATTTTATGCCATTTCTTTTATCATTTCGTGATTACATGTTTGATTTTATGAAGAGTGAGCGGCGGAGCGCTACTCTCTTCTTGACCCTTTTAGAGCGACTCGAAGCAGCATAGAAGCAACAAGCCGTCATACGAACGAAGTCGAGCTGTTCGAAGAAACCGTTCTACTTGTCGTCATAGGTATAAAGATTTCTTTATTGATTGGATCTAGAAGTTTTCGTAAATGTACTCGATTTTTATTTTGTACATATAGGATTTATACCATAATCTGGTTCTTCTGCCTGCATAGTATTACCATATAAATGCATAGAACATTTTCGGTTAAATGTAATCCTCATCCCTTTTGAAAAATATTGGATGAATTTAATAATGAAATAGATAATATAGGAAACTAATCATTCACTACCTCTTTCGTGTCAGTTTAGGTAAATTTGTTTTAAAAAAATACACTACATTTTATATTTTAGTCCAGAGGATAATGGAGATGGAAGCAGTGATCGGCCAGCTTGGGCAACTAAAGCTGTTGTGAAAAGAGCAGAGGAAATACAAAAGAGAAAATTGATTTGGAGTAAACCAGAGGAAAAGAAGGTAACTTAAGTTATGTATTGTCTTTAACGAGTAATTATGTTGTACAAAAAGAAATTAATGTTGGAAGTAATTCAATTCTTTTTAAAGCTAATTTAGGAGTGGAAGAGTAATACAGTCTCTTCACTCATTAGTCTGCGACCGTCTACTACTTCTACATGGAACTCTATTCTGGCTGCAAGTTCATCAGATAGCAAGCAGTTGGATAAGTTCAAACGGTTTGTCCAAGTTCTGCGTAATCAAAAGAGTTATTTGAAAAGTTTATGTCTAATACTATCATTAGCTTTCACTTCGCTGGATTAAAAAGTGTTAAGGAATAAATAAAGTTTGAAGTCTGGATTCTTTCAAATTATAGTTTAATGGGCATGAAAAAAAGTGATGAAGAAGGTCAAGAGGAAGTGCCAAAAGTGGATGATAATCAAATTGAAGCTGAAAGAAGACGACAGCATGAACTTTACAGTCATTTAGATCATCAGTATGCAGTAGCACGATCTTTTACTCATCTCAGTCGAGGTCAGGGACTTGGCTTCCATCAGTGATTTACTTTTTTCTGATCAAAAGCTGTAGTTATGAATATTTAAACGCTGCTTCAAAAAGTCTTGTGCGAAATGCTAAATGAATGTAGAAGTTTTTTTTTTGAATTCTATGGTATTGTAATATTTTAACGGTTTCCTAGTTATAGGGACCTTTTCGTTACTGTAATATATTGGATATTACTGACTCATTTATCGCTTGAATTCAATACATTTTCAAATTTAGTGGTATTGTATGTAGTAAAGGTCTTATGAACTCTTTCCTCATTAATTCCTCATTAATTTAAAGTTTCAAGTTATATAGTTTCGCTCTTCGAAAATTGTTTATTACGTTGAAGCTTTAAATATATTTCCCGTTGTCCATTCTGAAAGATCCAGATCTTTGTCATATATTTGATTGGTTGTTGTTTTCAAATGTTTTTTGACATAAAATGTTAGCCTTATTTTAATGATATTCAGAGACAGGAAGAGTGCTGTAGATATTTTTATCTTGGTCCTTTTCCCTGGTGTTCTATATTTATTGTCATCCAATTAGCAGTTGTTAAATGAATGCTTGCATTCGTACAAAATGATGTAAATATCCTATTCATAGTTCGGAATTAAAGAAAGGATTATTTGAAGAAGATGGGAATTTGGAGCAGAAATCTTTTTGAAGATTTGATGTAAAATATCGATGCTGCCAGATGAATGATAGCAATTGGAGCACGATAATAAAAGCCATCAAGATCATGATGATATTTTGTTGGCAAACCACTCGTGCCTCCAACGTCTTCACCAGTGTTATCTAAAAAATGGAGTTTGATTTGAAACCTACATTAGTTTTATCCACTTTAATACAATACCACTAATCAACAAGAATAATCATTAGTGTGTGTTGCGTTCTGGACGAAGTTGGTGATGCAGTAGTTCAGTGTATGTGTTTGTGTATCAATAAGCATTGTTCGAGGGTTCGCTGATGCTCGAGTAGCGGTAGTGATTTAAGAATATATTTACTGCTTGAAAAACTAATGAGAACAGCACTATAGATGTCTGAACCAATGAACCGCTCTTTATTTTAGATTCCAATTAATAATCGATGTGATTCTGGTTTAAAATACCTGATATCTCCTTTCTCTAAAGTACATGACATCTCCTTTTTCTCCTTTCTCTAAAAATTTAGATCTGACTGTTTAGGCTTGCGTAATATGCCAATTAAATCTTACTTACTGTGCTGACAGGAAGGTTACTTTCGCTTTCCTTTATGGTGGAATCCATTAATTCTGCAGTAGCTGTTGCCATATGGTTTTCAACAGCTAATCGACACCTTAGCTTGTGCTCCACTTTTGTTTCTTCACTCGAGTGTTTCCAAACACTTCCAAAACTTTCAGTGCTTTCTCCGTTTGTTTCGACTGCCATTAGGAGTAATTTCTCGTGTGGAACCGAGTTCCGGAATTCTATAACTAATTCGCTTTGGTCCAGTTGATGTAACTGTTTTAGTGGGCAAAAATTTTTTTTTTTTTTTTTTTTTTTTCAGAAGAAGGATTTTATGGAGATATCAATTATGATGCATTTAGGTGAGCAATATTCATAATTCAAGTATGTCACAAAAAATTTCAAGCTATTAATTAGAGAAAATTTTTATTTGTACCTACCATGCTGTAAATAAACTCGGATGAATTCAGTAGCACCGGGAGCAACAGTCCCAGTACTTGGACGTATGCGGAACTTCTCTGGCGAAGTAATTTTGATTTTATATGCAACATTTCGAATACTTTCGTTCTTCAGGACTACGACATCGGCCATATCGTTTTCACCACTCACGTGATTCAATGTCAATTCTTCACGTGGACTAGATTTCATTCGTTTAAAAAAAAAAAGAAAAATATTGCATTTTAAATTCTGTTTGGGTTTGATGAAAACATGTAGAGAAGGCATAAGATGTAATTGTAACAGAAACAATCAATGGAATTCTATCGACGCATTCCTAATCAATTCCAATATATAAGTGTGCGTAGGATACTGGTAATCTCTTTCGATGAGAAGATCTGTTTGTTCTAAACGAGAAATATGTGGCAAAAACTAACCAGATAGAAAGAAATTTGACCTTAGCATAATCTTTGATTGGAGTGTGTAAACGTGCCTCA